TGTCTGTGCCTTTTGCAATTGCACATTGCAAGCGCAGGTTGACGTAGGTCGAATCAGAGTAAGTACTGCTTTTCCTGGTTTTTTTGTTATAATAACGTACATTTTCCGTACACATGAGGATATTCAGGCATGTGCGCATAGGAGTGCCTGCCTGTGCAAGAGTTGTATCTTCTGCGTCTAGTGGATTTTTCTGCTAAAACATTAGTCCATTTTGCCCCTCCGTGTGACATCATTATCCATTGAAAGGTGGTAATGAATGCGACATGCTATCACCTTGGAAAATCTGTCTTTCTATGGGGATAGTAATGAGTCAATGAATAAACTGTGCCTTCACTATGCAGTTAGAAAAAAGTCCGTTGAAGTTCCTATGTAGGACAGGCCCACTCCGCTGTTGTCGAGTGTTGCAGGATGACACTTGTTTCGACGTTGTCTTGGGCTTATCCGCAAAAGTTTAGACAAAAAGCGGATGAAATCAGCACACGGCATGAATGTGGCCTAGCAATAAGAATCCTTTCAGATTGCCGTTTGCTCAACTGATTGTGTTCTACCCAAAGTCCTTGGTATGCACAACAGTATAGTCTTCGAGAAGAGTAGAGTGAACTCAGTAAAAAAAAAGCTGGTCGGCATTTGTCTTTTCGTTTCGACGGTAAGATATCACATGAGCTAGGAGGTAATCGTAGTTTGCAGCTGTTTGAAGTTTGCTGCAAATGTGCCTGATGCTGAAGCTGTATCGCTCTTCATACTTCCTTAAATTTCGCTCTGAGAATTTTGGAGTGGTTTTCTTTGTGTGTGCATCTCAGCGTCTATAACATAGGTTGCGTTCTGCATGCGACTAAACTGGGCTTTTCTTTGTCAATTCTATATCCTATAGTGCTCCATCTTTGTGCATGTGGGCTAACAGTGTAGAAGAATATTCGTACAGATTCTGAGAAGATTTTTTCAGACTGGCTCGCTTTTAAGCTTCTTCCTTTAGCTTCTTCTGCATGTAGTGATGTAAGCTCTCCGCAAAGATCTTGCCCAACCAACGTTTATTCTTAGCAGTGTTAGGTGTACTGCAGTAGCATTAAGCGTCATTTAACTTCTGTTCTAGGACAACTCCTCAGTTATAACGAAGATACCAACCGATCCTCTCGTTTGAGAAAATGAGAAGTTTTTTGCACAAGTTTCAGGTTCACTTGTGCTAGTCATACTAAACGGAAGGTTTTTTGAGAATGTTCTTGACACACATTAGTAATTTTTTTATTCTTGGACAATAAGAAGAGCTCACTTTCGGCTTAAGGATGGATCGAAGCGGTGATTACATTCAGTAGACAACGATAGCATCACGAAGTTCGCAAAGAGCACTCCTTTCTGAGAATTGATCGAGTTACGCCTTTATAGGACTCGCACAGCGGTTATTTTTTTCTACTAGAAGCATAAACCTTTGTGGAAAAGACGTACTTTCCTACTACACTCCAAGGAAGCGGTTTCTACTCTTCTTTTGGCCTCTTGTTCCAAATTTTCCGGTCTCACAGTCGCTGTCATTGTTCCTTTCTAGACTGAAATTGAATTTTCAGAAAAGAAATCATTAGGACGGACTATCGTCGACGATTACTTCCTCCAACTGATAGTATTTAGAACGGTACTCATGAGGTGCACTGATCATTAAGCATCAACTCGTTTTACTATTCTTCTTATAACGCATAGGTTGAAGACGATGCATGGCCAAGTGAGAGGAAAGGATCACGAAAAAGCCATACAAAGAGTACTTTGTGCCACAAAAATGGGAGAGAGGATCGAAAGTGCCCACCTACGTTGCCGATGAAGATTCAGAGGTCCGCAGTGTATGGCAAGATGTAGAAAATGAACTAGGGCATACTCTTAACATAGCCGGTCCACAGAAGTTGTTAGCGATGGGATCCCACTATATGTCAAGTGTACAGCAGAAAAATTACCAATTCACTCCCAAACTTCTTCTGTTGAAAAAATGAGTACGTTTTTTTCAGTAAGCCTACCAAAATTAGACCCCTAAACCACTACCTGCACTGTTTAGTAAACGAAATTAGTAATGAATCACATGCATCATGAAGTGAAATTCATCTTTTTCTGTTATTTTTGTTACGTGACTCATCATCGCATCCACTGCGCGGATCCCAGCACTTCTTGTATTCGATTCGTTTCCTCGCATCCACCATTCACGAAGGCCTTCCAACTTTTTGCGTCTCGATTCGTCTGTTGCGTGAGGCTTTTTTCGTCTTCGCCATAAATGTCGCTGAATGCTGATCTAGTATATTCTCTTTCGAATCCTTGGATAGCAACGTTGGAAAGTCCCCATGTGGACTGGAGAGAGTCAGCTTCTTCTAGAGAATTTTCTAACAATATCCCGACCACAGAGGGATTAGAGGCTAGTTCCGACAGGGGCGCGATCGAACCATGCCTGAGTAGGTTGGTTCGTCCTTGTAATGAATGGGATAGCTACCACTGCGCTGCTTACCACCTTGAAAATCACTGAAGCACATCTCCTCTAATGAATGTGGAAATACTCTGGCTCGACTAGCTCAAAGCTAGAGTAATCGACCCGACTCGCATTCAACGACCTTCGCAACAAAAACGAAAATATTCTCAATTAGCAGCCGGACTAAGACGCAAAGAAGTTCGAAGATCTTTGGTGATGATGGTTTCGAGAAAATCAGTCTAACACAAGGAATGCCTGGATCTGTGCTGTAAATGTAGAAGGAGAAACTGGTTAAAACCAGGAAATTTCAATGCGTTATATCAGATATCGGTGTGAAAAGAACTGTGCAACAGTGACGGTGATTGTAGCCAATCATGCCTTCCCAATTTTACTTACTTCTTGAATTCTTCTTGAAATTTTAAGTGGTGTATGGAGAAACAACCCGATGAATGTAGGATTGAAGCTGTTACCACCAATTTTATTTACTTCTTGAATTCTTCTTGAAATTTTAAGTGGTGTATGGAGAAACAACCCGATGAATGTTGGATTGAAGCTGTTACCACCCGATCTATAATTGGCCATGACAGATAGGTTTGAAAGCACTCGGGGAGTCGGCTAAGCAGGTGATCGACTTCAATTGTAACAACTTCTAAGACGTGAAAGACTTCCGCCTTTTAGTACATTCGAATTTTTGGACGGAATTTGGCAGTACTACAAGGCATACTGTATGAATGTGAGTGTGAGTGAGGCTGTGAGTTTATTCGTGGAAATTAAAAGGCAAGAGAATGGGAACCTGAAGATAGTTATCCACACAATTATCGTTCTTATTTCCAGAAGCCAGAAAGGATTTGTAGTTCAGCACATAAAATCTTTAACAAATAAAGCAGGGTTGATGTCGAAGGCCATTTAACACGGCATCAGCACCAAATGATGTGTCCAACTGTGTTTCCACTCCTCGTAAACATATCACTGCACCTGTATCAAACTTTCCATAATAGGTAGAATGTCATTATAATGGCTTATCCGGTTCCATTAAGAAGCATGGCTAAAAGTAGAACAGCTGCACATCAAACCGTCGATGTCCTAGAGGAAATCTGATCACAAAACGACGAGGCTACCTTAGGTCATAAAGAACATAGACTGCACTACGTGGATCCCTACAAATGGATGATATAAGTTTCTCAGAAGTTGAAGGTAAAAGCCTTGGCAAGCCAACAATATTTTAGTGAAATAGAATGCAACCTGGGAATTTATCCATGAGCGCCGGCCGCCAACAGAATGCCGATGATGCATTGTGTGCAATGCATCCGTGAGGATTTTCCCCATTGGTGCGATTCTCTTCAAGGAAATGAGAAGTTAACGAAGAGCTTCTCCTTATCATAGCTTCCAATAGCCACTGGTTTTAATGGAGCAAGGATCGTAAAATATAGATAGCGCGATAATGACCTTCGTAGCTTCCCACTTAAGCACTCTAAATCTGATGCACTGTCCATTGTCATCATCTTAACGTCAGGTGGACAATCTGCTTTAGAATACCAATCTGTTCCTTCTACAGATGACGATAAAATAGGGGCTGTTTGCGGTGAGTCCTCTCCCATTTACCATATGTGTGATAATTTCTGTTTCTTCAATTAACGGTATCTGCATACTCTGGTGCATTTCCAGTTGACAAGCTCGAGTAGTAGTCAAATCCTGTAAAACATCGCTCACGCCGGCCATAAATTGCTTTGTCGGGAAAATAGAGATTTCCAACTAGCTTTCAAATTTACGTCTGATCATAAATGAGATGCTACAGGACGGAATACAATAGCAGGACTGAAATGCCAACAACCACTTAGATGTGGCAAGGTAATCCCATCTCAAAGCAGATGGCAGATGAATGTTGCCATGTCGTCAATGCTTGTCGATTCCCACCACTCATCCCTCGATAGTCGATATCTGTTCGTAAGCAATTCATTTGGAAGACCTATTTGTTCTGTGCATTAAAGCAAAAATTGTCGATCCCTGATAGGTTGCCATCTAGTGGTTGGGAAGCAATACATTATCAGATCCTGCCACTGCTGTCTTCCTCATCAACATTTTTTCCTTTTTCTCCAATTCATTTACTTCAGACTGTTAGCTGAAAGGCAATATAGGTTCCAGATTGTTCTCCACATCTCTAACTTCTTCTTCATGGTGACTTCCGATGAGTCTAGCAATGATAAATCTTGTATGGTGCTCCAACACGTATACCTTCAGAGCGATATGGCAAAAACTCTCTTTGCTTTCTACGTTGCGAACTTGTTAAGTCCTTTTGTTACTGGAAATCATAGGGAGTTGTAGAAAACCAACATCATCCATTATTTACGGCAGGCGAAGTCGAATTTATTATGCGGATAGCACAGTGGTAGTGGTGTCGGTCATTACGAGCATGGTGCTAGTTCGATTCCACTCCTGGCTAACGAAGCCTCTCATCCCTCTGAGGTAGGGAAATCGGTAGTGGACTTGTCTGGGAAAAAACACTCTTTGAAACTCAGAACTCTAAGGAGAATCGACTCGACCAGCATTCTACGACATTCAAGATGAAATGAAAATACTCAAGCAGCAACTGAAGCCACATGTAAAAGTTGGAGGATCTCCGTGGATAATGGATACGAGGAAAGGAATCGAATGTGAGATGCACTGGGATCCGCACGGTAGACGTGAAGACGGGTTATATAAAACAAAAAATAAATCAATAGAAATCCTGTTCTTCTCTGGCATTTCGCTGTCATTTCATTCCGAATCGCCATGAGGAATCATGGCCATCATATTTAACACGTGTGTATAAAAAGTAAGAAAGTAGAATTAACATATGCTACAAAACACTTCCAAATACTCGAAGCAGTGTGGTTGAACAGTGGACCACGTGGTACCATATTGCAAAGCGTAGCACTTCATCGCTAGAGCGATAAGGTGAAGTCTGTTCTATGGTCCTGCCACATTCTGAATCCCTCGAATTGCCTGGCTATCAAATGGCCACCGTCTCCTCTCGAAATTTCGGCATCGCTTCGAGGTGTGGAGGAGGAGTATGGAGTGGGCGAGTCCGCCACTCACCCTGGAATCGGGTGCAGACCACGTCAATTGGGCGCTGAGTCTTATGCCGATGTTGTTGGTCTCGAGCTACGTTCTTTCTGTTGGAACCTCAACACGCTGAAAAAAATAGATGAATGTCTGTCTCATCTGTGCTCCTCCACGTTACACTCAGAATGATTCTCCAACGGCTGCAGTAAGCGGTTGAAGACTTTTAGAATCGACATCCGATGATTAAGATATTGGTTTTAAGGAAACCGAATCCTATTTCTTCGAATCCTTAATGGGCAGAAGGACGTCATACTGACCATATTTCCTTCGCATAGTTTTCTCATCCTCTGGATTCATTCCAGTGCGAAATTTGACGCGGACTGATTGATATGGAGTCGGAAGAAAAGCAAATACCCTTTGAAACAATGAAAGCCCTTGTCTACGTCGACACACCCACGCTCGTAATCGTTTTAGAAAGCAAATGAGAAGACGGTGATTTCCTAGCGGTGATCATTTCTTTCCAGCACTATCGGCGCGATGCCAGTTGTGGATCTGGATATTGTGAGATCTACGACATTCAATTACTTGAAGTTTATCTGTTAACCCATTATGTAACGAGTTCCTTCTTCAATCCAGCGGACGGATTTGTTGTCAGAGTTATGCATTTGGGCAAACGTCGGAGAATAGACCGAACTTCGAAACGATTTCCTGAAAGAAATATTTGTATTTTCATCATACGGACACAACTTTCACCACATACTACTCAGTCCACAGTGATTGTCGCGTATTGTGCGCTTACGTGTACAGTCGTTAATGCGAACCCAGTGCTTCATTACATCTTCATACGAAAATTTGTCCCTCGTAAGCAAGTGCCAAAAATGAAGACTCTTGTTTATGCGCTGAAAGCATCTTCCTTTGATCATCGCTCAACTCTATCACTCAAATCTTTGCTTTGTTATTTGAAAGTGCTCAAGATTTCTTAAATTTTTTCGGATACGATAAACATGAACAGAAAAACTCCTTAGCACCTTGTAGTTCTGTGTTTTATGATGAACGGAGAACAAATCCGATAGTAGAATAGGTACATTTACAGGGATTTCTTTAGCGTTCAGATAACCCATGGCTTACTTTTGAAAGGGGTTTTCGATACTTTGGAAGGTTTGACTCTTCACGTTGACAGTTGCGGTGCTCCAATACCACAATTGCGTCCGATGGAGACTACCTTCTTGTTTGTGTCATGGTTGCCCTTGGAATTTTGAAATCAAGCTTTCTTGCGATATGTTGATCATCTTCCTCTCATGGGAAGGATAATTGCCTTGTAGGAAACAGTCATGCCGTTCAAAGGGGCACTGCATGCTTCTTCGGCTTTTTCTATAGCTCACAGTATTATCGTCATGATTCAGATCTCGTAATGTTTCGGAAGCCAAGTGATGATGATTGTTATCAATCTCGTATCGTGAAGGCGAAGCCGCTGCCAACAAAGTATGCTCAGAAGCTTTCGATGTCAGGAAAGGTATCTCAGTTCGTTGTCGCGATCGCTTTCTGTTTTTGAGGTTCCGTAGTTGCCGAGTTCTCTCTCGGCCTGAAGCGTGAGCTTGTGTTGGGTTGAGTTGAGCACACTATGTGGGATGAGCGACACATGAAATTCTAGCGAAAATACCATTTGAGAGATTTTGTACCGTTATAGGATGACACCTGTGTTGTCATTGAGGTACATCAGAATTTTAGGTACGATCTTGCCAGCGTTTCTAGTTCTTGTTTTGTATTCTGTTTCGTTGGTGGAGTATTTCAACGGTTGTACTCTTTCAGGACTTTGTGTCAAGTGGATGCGAAGGAGGTAGTAACACGAGCAACAGAGCTTCATGCTCGTCGCCATCAACAGTACCCTTGACGGAGGACGAGAGAAATAAAATCCACGCAAAGATACTCAAAGCAGAAATGAAAGGAGATTTGGTGAGCTAAGTATTGGTTAGGTTCTTTCACCTTCGTTGGTTTCTTCTTTTTTGGACCGCTTTTCTGGTCTATCATGTTCTCAATGAGATCTTCCAAAAGATTTGAGGTTTTCTGATCGTTTTCGATGTTATTGTGTAAGTTATGTTTGTGTCTCTATTCAATCCCGTAGCCTTTTCCTTCTCCTTATCACATAATAGTAAGAAAAACCAATTCAAGATGGACATTTTGCATAAGTGCACGGAAGTACTCCACGTTTTTCACACTAAGGATTTGCAGACTACCACAAATTCGTATAAAAGGATAAAGGATAGAGCTCTCGGCGTTGATCAATCACTGAGGAATGCGCCATGCATTCGACTTCATTAGGCATCGCTAGAGGTGAATGAATGCATATCTGGCCTTTATAATGACTCGTGGTGGTCTACCGATGTATCGAGCCAGTGTTGCTATCCTCCCAAACAAGTCTGGTATTAATCTGCCGACTCTGGAGAGATGGAAGGTCTGGTGAGCCTTGGGGACGGGGATTGTTCCCACGCGTATTGCAGTGAGCCTTCGACTGCTGCTTTACGCGCAATTCATATAGCAGGTTGAAATTAGTTCTTATTACTGTTATGGCAGTTTACATGTAGCGCAGATGTAGCACAACGTTTCCTTACCATAAAAAACGGAATAATTGCGCTCATTTCATTGATTCCTGTCGAATAAGTAGTTCTTGTTATCGAATTAGTTAAACCTTTTTTCTCCCGTTCAAGCAAAAGTTCTTCTATTTTTGCTATTTCTATAAGAAGACATTGAAAATTCTTTAATCGTCTACGAATAACTTGCCAAGGTGATTTTCCACTTTATGGACAAAACTGACATAAATGATAGGGAAAGCGGTGTGAATGAATCAGCAGAACTTTAAACACTAAGGGGAATGTAAGAAGTTTGAGCCACCTTGAATACATTTGCACTTATTTTAACTAATTATAAACATGACAAGAATTTGAAAGTTTTGTTGTCAGTTGAAGAGCAGAGTCCGTACTGATGAGGGGATAGTGAGTTATTTTTTCTCTCTCTCCCATATGGTTTACCTGTGTCATTCATTCATATATGTTCTCTATGGCTATCCAAGCTTTTGCATAAACTTTCACCTCCTAAATGAGCACGTCCCACTTTCCAATTGTAGGCAAGATAATTGTTGATTTAAAAATCGTTGATAATTTGATCGTTGTTTATAGTTGTTTTTGGAATGTTTGATTTTAACCTAAGAGAATTTTGCAAGCAACTATTTGTTTATACTTTTCCACGGTAGCTTTGAATCCTAGAGATCTTTCATAACTGTGATTTCTAGGCCTGGCGATTGTCATAACATTAGGTGTAGGGTTCTCGAAAATTACTCGTCGAGATGTGGAAGAGTTTTAGACGAGGGTTTGAAGTTGCATTGTAAACCATATGTGAGGATGTCTAAGCATCGCAAATCGGCTAAATTCAGATATTCGAAATTTGGCTTAAAGCCTCTTGTTTGTTATTAAAATCAGATAATACGCATTTATTCTGGTTCATTCACAAGATGTGTAACTGCTATCCTACTGCTGTTTGGCTAAGCTATTGAAAATGTAGGTTTTAATAAAAAGTTTAAGGTTATGCTCAGAAAACTTCAACCTGTTCAAAGAAAAAGCATCCCAAGCGAAGATCTTACTAAGCCATTATTCATACTTAAGAGTTAATATGGGCGCAGTGGTCGGAGGAGCCCTGCAACACATATGGGATCGATTCTCGCGCTTCAGACTTATTAAGTCTTCCATCCCTCCGGGTTCAGCAAATTTGTACCAGACTCGTCTGTGAGTATAGCAAGACTGGCTTTATACATAGGTAGGCCACCGTGAGTCATTGTAAAGGCTAGACATGCATTCAATCACTTCCAAACTGTGCTTAATGAAGTCGAATGCATGGTGTATCCCTCAGGGTTTGATCAACGCCGAGAGCTTTATCCTTTTTAAGAGTCAATAACAGCGTGTTAAATTGAAGAGGACAAACACAAGTAATTCTTTCTGGAATGTGTTAAACGTAGTAAATTACCAAGAGTGCATTGTTGAATGTCTAACATACTGGTTTCGGACCAGCGGTATTGATAGCTTTATGGTGTGTATTAGCTTACGCATTTCCATTCTTTTCATACTTTCCACTTTTTAAGGAAGCTGTGGAAAAGCTCAGACGAAAACTGGAAGGCAAAGTCGAGAAGAACGAATCTGTAGTTTTACTGAAGCGTGATCGTTCTGGAAACGTGATTCCTGCTCAAGGTAGCAAAGGGTCATCGAAATGTTTTGCAGAGGTAGCGGCTTTTTCAGCATAGTAACTGAGAAGTTTTAATCAATACCTTTCCTTGAAGTCCTCATCGCGAATTCATCGCGAATATGGAAAGCAACAAAGTGTTGAAGAAATGATGCGAGAGGAAAAATCATCTACTGCTGAGGATCAGCTTATGCTCTTTCATCGGTCAATTATTGTAAGTTATTTTAGTTCCATAGTTGTGAAGTTGGAATGCTTTTATATGTTTCCTGCCCAAGTAACTTTCAACTGAAACATTCTTTCAGAATGTTTGTTATTTTTCGCCGAATATTTGTTTTTACATGTTTTTCTCTTCACATACCTTCAGCTGACATGTTTTCCTTTCACATAACCTTCAGCTAAAGATATTTTCCTATTCGTTTTAGTTGATCATGGATCTCCATAAAGGAACGTTTGGTTTGTATTCATTTGGTTATGCAGTGGTCTAATAGCACGTTCTCTCCGTTCCAAGAAGTAGATCCTGCGATCGCTTTTGGGAAGCCCAACGAGCTATCCATGTTTATTCCTACATCGAGATCATAGAGAGCTAATAATGAGTATTATTTCCATACAAAGACACATACAAGGCAGCAGTAGCTGACGCTTTGGCAGTATTGCCTTTTTCAGAGCTGTTTTTTGCATTATATTGTTGAGAACAGTAAGAATATGGCCTTTCATGTGGGAAATGTGGTGTCCTTCGCATCAACTGAGTAAGCAAAACCCTTGATGAAATAGAGACTTACCTTATATCTACTCGAATTACTTAGTGATTAACAATATTAGAATCGTACAGATGAGAATTCGAATGAATAGTCTGGGCAATGGCAGTTTGTAATTTGTCACATCGTATCTGTAGGTGAGAATTTCTGATGTTTCAGGTGTGTAATTGTATCCCTGTTTTGAAGTAAGATACATTTTGTTGATTGGCAGTCATAGGTTCTACACTCTTGCGAAATGTCTACTAGAATTGTTCAGAAAAGTTACGTATAACTCATCACTTTTGTCACTGATCAAAACTAAATAATGACATTAATCCTGTCTTATCTGTTATCGTACCTTTGATTTCTTTTCACTATATCGATCATCTGTGTCGTGAAGGTAAGTCACTTCTTTTGAAATAAAACAGAGGAGCTTTCTTTCATACTCAATACAGTCACATTGCATATCAACTTCAATCCGTACATCTTCGAAGTTAATCCCACCTTTCGATTTTAGAGAAATATATCTCATAATTGACTGCCCCTCCTAACGGTTTACCGTCTCATCGTGGTTGGGAAGTGTTTCTGGTATAGCGCTGTGATGTACAGCGGGGATTCTCCCAAGCTGAGGAGTCCGGGGTTTCCACCAGGGAGCCCCGCTAAGAGTACACCAATACCAGAAACCACCACCGTCCTGGCATCATATTAGTCGCATGGTGGCAAATCTCTCTGATCCACAAAGGCGACAACTGCCTGTGCTGGTGACGACCTAGGTCTCCAACGAAACACAGTGGGTAAACCAGCAAAACTAAGAAACATGGAGATTATGCTGTGGGTCGCACAACAAATTAGGACGGGCGGTTCGACTATCCAAGTATCTAAGTTGACTTCTTTAATTAACATAAAGCCAGTATATTCTTAAGACTATTGCTAATTGAGCACAAGATTGTTTAATCAAAGTGAAATTCAATCCTTCTGGTGGTCGCGAATATATCTCATTTCGGTTTTTTTCCCTCAAGACTCGTATTTCGAACAGCGAAACAACTTAACAAAGAGCATTTTAGAGCGAAACGGTGTCAACGAATGTACCGCGGATGTATTCGAACACCGCGGTTGTGTTGAAGAATTCAAATATTTTATTGCATTTCCGGCTTTTTAGAAATCTGATTCCTAACATCTACTCGACGAAATGACCTCTAAGGGAGTCATATGACTTCGTCAAGGTTCTTTTCGAACACGAAATGAGCTGAACAAGGCGGTATTCCATCCACGTTGTAGTGGTATTCCAAACGTATTTATTCTCGTTTGCAGTTGCCGCAGTGATCGAAGAGTTACTTCCGTCAAAATGTGATCGAACGGTGTTAATTAAAATAACATAAAAATTATGCATATCTTTGAAACGATAATACGATGTCTGTTCATTAGGGCTGAAGAATTACCAATTCCTCAGGTACTATGCTGTTCGGAAATTAGTGCAGGATTCCGTCCTGTATTTTCAGAGTGGCATATCTCAGTTAGAAATAAACTTTTTTGGTCGAAAAAGAAACCATTAGAGCCCGAGTGTACTTGTTAACGAGAAGCAAGTTTAATACAAGTTACTTAAAATCCTAAGCTTCTGAACGCCATGTAATTGTTGAGGGCAATTCCAACTGCGACTTGGTTTCTGAAGAATTTCAAGCATACGAAGACGTCGAGGTGCCCAGAGAAGTGGTACTCTATAGGCATTTGGTTCGGCGAGTATGAAGGACGAATCAGAGTAGTCGTGGCCTAGCTTTTTCAGGTTTCGTAGCATCGGTTGTCCAACGTCTAGTTCGCATTATCGTAGAGTAGGATTGGTCCTTTTCTGTTAAGCACTGCCGATCGCAGAGCTTCTTCCGCTTTCCAATTCTGTTTACATGCCACGAAACAGTTGAGACACATCGAATTATTCAGCAAATTCTTAGTTCTGTGTGCTTGTATGTATTTGCTACCACGAAAGCTCCTAATTTATCATCATCAATACCAGAACGATATCTAGAACCTACCTCTCCTTCACCGTCGAGTTCTCGCCGAAATCTTCCAAAAATAAAGTTGCGAACTGCGTTAGTTATCACCTGCCTGGATTCGTATCTCATTAATGTTTCAAGTCGTTTGCATTTCCTACAGCCGACATTGAATTCGTAGAAATAGGTTCGTTGAAATTGCTGTCTTGTTATCGGAAATTCTAACCCATGAGGTTCATCAAAAATACGACTTACGTCATAATCCAATTATAAGGAGCCAAATGCATAAGATAAGCCTTGGATTTATTTATAATATTACAACATTCGGAAAAATTGTTCCTAAAGCGTATGTAAGAAGAATAAAGTTGCAGGTCTTAGGCTAATTTCTGGACTACTTAATATTCTAAGTATTAAGAAGTAATCTGCAATTGTCAAAAGCTCACTGTGTCATGAGAGTGATAGAACAACTAAATGTTTCGAAACCAATTTTCACTTAAGCTTTACATAAGTGATCGGTAATATCTTACGAACTGTCTTTATTTAAGCTCGTGCGATGTTGGTACGGTGTTTTACAAATACAGTAACTGACGTTTCGGCGATTTCTCTTTCTTCAGAGCCTAGACGTGCTATATGATACCATATTTTTTATTATTTGGTTGGTAGTTCCTGATTCCAATGCAAGTCGAATTCAAAATTTACTTCTTCCACCGTTTAGCCCTTTAGATAGAGTAAGGCCAATCGTGTGTTCTTAACGCACAAGAGACAACGAAGCTTACTCAAATCAGAAAACAATCTGCGATAAAACCCCTTATCAATGTGATAGTCAGGCATTCTTTTTTTATATTCATTTTTGGATTTTTGAAATCAATCCAGAAAGCTTCCAGAGATCTGTGCGCGGATGTCTTTGTTTCCTGCCCAGGATTATGACTACAACTTCAAAGTCGTCACCGTTCGGCCTTTATGTTATATGCGTACCTAGAGGAATACTTGATCGAGTTTTCGATATTCCATTTAGGTGTTCTCTTATCCGGACACGAAGTGCTCTACCCGTTTCAATAATTTATTCATCACCGCATGTCTTTCAAGACAGCAGGTATATTTTACCCAAGCTCATGCAGTTTCCGTCTCTGCGGTTAGGACAAATCATACAATCCTCTGTTTTACTTAGACAGCAGTACAAACGGTTCTGAAACAACTGACGACGTAAAGTGTTGGCAGAATTTCCATAATTGCCACGGAGTTTTCCAGAGCACTGTTTTTAGGCTCCTCTTGACATCGATGCTTACGTTATTTGGTATTAAGGGTAGCTTTAAAGGGATCTTCCCATTTAGATTTTGGATGACACTGTTTTGGTTATGAGGCCCGGTTCTCCTTTTCTGCCTGAGCTAAGTGGCCCTCGTTTCGTAGTTGTTCGAGGTAGCTATTTATTGTGGAAAGTGTGGTGATCCCTTTTCTGTTCGCTCCTGTGCAAACGCTCGTAGCAGTTCGGTACATGTTTCAGACAAGTGCTTTTTTTGTGTGTAAAGGATGAAAAGAGAGATATTCATCACTATGTTTTTATTTCCTGGCTTCCGATACTATTTTTTGGTGTTCCCACTTTCGGAAAGTTGCATTTAAACGTTCAGGAATGGAATCCAGAAAATGGTTTTCTTTAGGTTTTTCTTGTGTAAACTTTAAATACTCTGACTGTTTATTCAATAGTTCAAAATATTTGTTCATCTCATTTTGTGTAGAACAGACGACAAAAGAGTCATCTATGTATCGACAGCAAAACAAAGGATGACGATTGAGAACTGGGATTTCCATCTTAGACATAAACGCAGTGGCAACGCTTGGTGCCAGTCGTTGCCTCATTGCCAACCGTCTGATTTTCGCACAATTTCTTCTGCAACACCCAAAGATTGAACGACCAAAAAAGTTTTTTAGGAGAGTCATGAGCTGTTGAATCGACAATCCGTACAAATTTATTTTCTCGTCATTTTCTATGAGCACTCGTGAATGGCGTTCACGTCATTTGTTTAGAGTGCAGTAACTTCGAATGGCTCAGTTTTATAGGTTAGACTTGGCTGTACATGATGGAGATGGTCTAGGGAGATTTTGGTTTTACAGGAATGGGCTGGTATGTTATCAAATCCAAAATTTGGCGCATACCCACGGTTTCTCCATATTAATCGTGAGCTTTCGGTGTCCTTCGGTAGCAGTTAAGTATATTAAGCGCTTTGTCCAAAAATAAACTGAAGATTGAGTAGACTTAGTCCTGAGGTTTGAAGAACGTCGAAGGGAAAGGGGTGGTCGTATTGGCTGTCGTTGCTCCAAATTCATTCTTTCTAGTTTGGTCTTATAACGGAGGTGATTCCGCAGAAAATTTCCCTTCATGCGACACTACGTAGGATTGTTCTAGAATTGGATTGAGCAGCTTGAATATCGCGCACAAGCCTAAGCAAGGACAGTTTATAATCATACATTTATCTGCTTCTCACCCTACCGTGGGAAAATATGCTAACTTTTTTTCTATTATTTATATCACCTGTCTTCACATCTACTGTGATGTTCTCAGCACTTGCATCCAGTTCGTCCTCTTACTTACATCATCCACGAAGTCCTAACTTTTCACGCGTGGATTCCGCAGCTGTTTTAGGTTTTTCATCTTGAGTATGAATGTCGTTGATGGAGTCGACTATCACTCTGGTTCTGCGATAGCCGTGCTATGGTGTTCCCACTTGAATTGCTGGGTGTGAGGTGTTTCCCGTCAATTTTCATGCCTTTTTC